AGCTAAGCCTTGGGGGGGGGGGGGCAGCCTGAGCCTTAGCCTCCTGCCTCTCCTGGCTAGGGGATGCGAGCAGGAATGGCTCAATCAGGATATAATCGTTTTTAATTAACGTGCGGATCATTTCACAGGCTGATCTCCTTGGAGACCAGAGGAAAGACGGTCTTTCAAGATTTTCCTTTGCCTCCCCCCACCTCTCCCAGTTGAAGGCCGCCCCGCTTCACCCAACCAGCCACAACCTTGAAAGCAGCACAGAAGCCTGATGCCTGGATCTCTCCTGGGGCCAGCGGGAGGGGAGTGTGTGCTCGCACACGGACACACTCAGACTCACACGCGTGCCCAGGCTCGGGCACCCCCTTCAGGAACCCACAAGGGGATCAGGCACACACAGACACGCATGCACATGTGTCCAAGCTGGCAGGCATCTGAGGCACCCAGACATGACACACACACACACACACACACACACACACACACTCTCACAGGCATGCTACATGTGAAGACACACGCACAGACGTGCACTCATAGGTGTGCCACACACCCTGACACACCCCGCCCATGCACACTCATGTGCCACACCCACAGACACCAAACAGACACACCCATGCACACTCACAAGCCACACCCACATACACCACACAGACAAAGCTACACACAGGCCCACACTGGCAGGCACACGGAGCTCAGGAAGGCACAAATGGGGTCAGAGGCACACACCTGTGGGCACACGGAAGTGCCCCAATTCCCACACTCCCAGGAGGGTTTTGCCTCACCTCCATGAGGCCATGCTGACCGGGAGATGCAGAAAGGCCCTGGCCCTCTGATTTGCAATCAGCACAAAAAGCCTCCTGGCCCAGGTCTTGCCTCGACCTGCTCGGGCTCCTTTTGACCCTTAGTGCCCCCTCTTATGCCTCCCAGGCCCCAGCAAAGAAGCATCCTCCTGAGCTCTGCAGTATCTCCCTGTGGTCCAGGTTCCCAGCCCAGTCTAGGGCTCTCTTCCACAGGCTCAGAGTCACTAAGGTGTTGGGGGAGAGGGGGGAACTTCTCCATCCTTACTTGGAGTACGTCCTTTGGAACATGCAATTTCTTCTCTCTTCCTCCTGCGTTTCCTTCCCTCCTCCCCATCCTGTCCCTCTTCCTAGTCCTTTAACCTCTTCCACTGCTTCCTGTCCACCACCCCACTGCTGGCTCTCCTCTCTCCTGCTCGGCCTCCCACTGTCCTCCCCGCCCCCCCCCCACTAACCTCCTGGGCCCTAAGCTAGAGGAAGAACTCAAAGAGTAGCCTATATTTCCTCAGGGCTCCTTGGGTGGTGCAAACAGCCCACTTCTCAACCACTCACCAAAGGACTGGGGGTTCAAGCCCACCAGAGGTCCTCTGGAAGAGAGGTAGGGCCATCAGCTTCAGCTTCTAAAGGCACCGGCTCTCTGACACCAGCGGTTGTTCTGGGTCAGAGGCAGCTCACCAGCCATTGTTTTGGAGCTGGTTTTGTCCATCCTGGCCTTCACTGCCCATGCGACTTCCTGCCCCCTGGCTCCACCACAGGTGGGAGGGTAAGACCTTGGGACAAGTAAACTGAAGCACAGGACAGTGGTACAAACCCCTGGGGTCCTCTACCTTGAGGCCTTGGGGCTCCTGAATCCACAGCCCTCCTCCCCAGAACCTGCTTCTGATTCTCAGCTTTTCCTTCTGGGAGACGGGATGATGAGAGCCTCACGGCTGGCCAACCACAGGTTGGTGACTTGAGTGGCCCCAGGTCCCATGAATGTGACCAGAGTGCTGAGGGGCCTGGTTGGGGCTCCGGTTGTTAGAACTGGGGCAAGCTGGGCCTTGGTGCCCCATCTGTGGAAGGGATCCTTTCAGCATTCAAAGCCCAAACCTCACTGCCATCATTCGGTAGCAACCATAGGACAGAGGAGAACCATATTTGGGGGCTTCTGAGGCTTTAAACCTTTATGGGAATAGACAGCCTCCTCTTTCTCCCGAGGAATGTCTCGTGGTTTCAAACCACTGACCTTGTGGCTGGTTAGGAGATCAGTGCATAACCCGCTATGCCACCTGACCTCCTCCCTTCAGCATGCAGACCCCCCAGCAGCAGAGGAGCAGCCTGCCATGTGACCTTGGGATCACTGCCTGCAGCTCAGTTAGATGGGGTGGGGAGGTAAGCAGGTGACTAACCACCAAGACTCATTTTCTGCTCTGAGGAAGATTCTAGATTTTCGGGAAGAAGGAGAGCTGTGTCCCACTTATCCAGGGAAAAAATCACAGAAGCTGGTTCCTTCCACTGGAGGCACGGTTGAGCCTCCTGTACCAGCAGCGTCATTTTGAGGAAATCATCTTAAACATCGGAAAAAGCCCTGTGCACAAAACCGTCTCCTGCCTCACTCACTGGGTGCCTCCGGAACATTTAACAAAAGGGGAAGATGAAGCAAATGCGGAGGGTACAGCCACTGAGTGGGAGAAGCCTGAACACACTACGCATGGTGTTTACAAAGCAACGGGGACAGAACAACAGGAAACGGCTCCTGTCAGTGCAGAAAGCAATCTTTGTACATCTGAACACAGAGCATGAGAACAGCCTTAAAAAAAAAAAAAAAAGAACCAACCACCAATTCAGCGAAAACCAGGAAGAGCCACATGAACATGATTAACATCGTCACAGCCCATGAAGATGGCCAGGAACCCCTTTCACGTGTTTTCTCCGTTTATCAGGTTTTCTATGAACCGTATTTTAATATCTATCTATCAAAAGGTCTTCAAAATGCCTCCAATTGAGAAATGTTGTCCTTTCATTCATTTATTTATTCATTCATGATGGATTCATTCACTCTTAGGTTCGTACGGCCAAAGCTATGTGCCCACTCTGTGCCCAGCCCTCCTCCAGGCGCAGGGGACACTCTCGCCTGCAGGAAGCACCGGTCTGAGAAGGGGAAGTCAGCCACACAAATTACACCCAGGGACTCTGGCTGTCCTGGGGACCCACAGGGCAGGCAGGGAGGAAGGCTGCTGATTCAGTTCTGCCTGCCAGCACTCTCCACTGGGCGCCCCGCCCCAGCCCTAGGGGAACATCCCTGTCCGTGCCAGGTAGCCTCCAGGACGCAAGGCCACTCTCCGCAAGGACTCTGGACAATACTGGGCAGGCCCTGCCTGATGTAGAGGTGGAAACTCTGCCTGCTCCTGTCACTGGATGTCAGCTGTTAGCAGGTCCATCAGCCTGTCCCTGCTGTGTGTTTGTGTGTGTGTGTGTGTGTGTGTGTG